TCCCTAACTTATGAATTGGTTCCGTGCATTTTCTGGGGCTGATGATCTGAATGTTTGAGATTTAGTATGGAGGTTAAAAAGTTGAAATCTTTTTAATAAAATTATTTCTCTCTCTGGGGCATAACTATTTCCTTGATTAGAGTGAAAGAAGCATTTATTCTTAAGGAGTCTTGGTTTTGCTGCTGACATGCCACGGTGTGACTTTGACAAATAATGGCCTATTATTGGGCCTGTTTCTTCATTTATAAAATAAAGGGTAGTGTTAAATTATAAAGTTCTTATAAGTGGATTAGTAGAATATTTTTAAGATTATATACAAACACAAATACACTGGCAAGTCACTTGCTGCTCAACTAGTTTTGTTGTATAGGTACATTATCGATAATGTTATTCATATCAAGAGATCATTTGTGCTTTTTGAGTCATGATTTTGTTAATCCGATAGTGACTTTTCAAGGTTGTCCATATTTTTTATAAAGAAAAAAATAATATTTATTTGCAATATTAACAAAGTCTCATTGCCGAGTCAAGTTATGTCTCTTGTATTAAAAATTAAATTACTGCCATGATGATTGGAATCACCAGGATGAGTGACATGAACAGATTTAGAATTGCTTCTCTTATACTGAAAGCCCGATTTTTTTATATATGTGTATACATATATTTTCATGCTCTGTAATTTCATTGAGCTAAAGAATGTATCTTTGATCTTTTGATCTTCTACTTAGGACACAAATACTTCATAGTCATATTCTATATTTTATTAATTTTTGCTTTGTGGGTTTCATCGGGCTAAATGAGAGTAAAGTGGTTGTGCATTTCTGTTTTAAAAATGCCTTGATACAAAATCTTCTCAGATCAGCTCCACATGTGACAAATCACTCATTTTAAGTGGCCCAATGAAGTTATTTCTTTTGGAAATTTAACCATTCATATGTCCTTATGAGCTGTTTTTTCCTCCCCCCTAATCCAGTGTCAAGTTTTAGAATACAAACTCCAGTGTCAAGTTTTGGAATATAATACTACGAAAAAGTTAAAGGAGTTTAAAAAAAGTTAAAGGAGTTTAACTTTTCCTTTGTATCTCATAATACCCAGGAAATAACTCTGTTAGTCTTTGAATAATTTGTAAATGTTACTGCTTTTGAGGATTTTGGGTTAAAATTTTGGATAGAATAGAGTAAACCTGTTTCTAGGATATCAAACTGAGGCCAGTGTGGTTAACTCAAGGACATAGTTCGTTAAGCTGTAGGCTTTGTTCTGAAGTCAGTTTCTCTTGTTAACCATAAGTTGCTTATTCACTTTATATTCTCTCTTACATGAAACGTGGTATCAGATTACTGATATGAGAAGGTCTGTCAGGATATAGGTTGGATAGATGTGCATGTGCATGTATACAAGTGTTCCTGTGTATGTATGAGAGAGTGAGCAGGCACACAGAATATCTGAGAATTTGGGGTACTTGTTATGTTTAGCATTTTAATCTGAGCCTTATATAACTACCTAGTTATGTGCACTTAATTTTGGACCTATGATAGTTGGCATTCGGAAGCAATTCTTAATGGTAAACATGATACTTTAGGAAGATAAGAACATATTTTCCTTTCCTATTTTCATTTTAGCTTTACTCTGTTTTGCTCAGCTATAAGTTGGTCCATTTCCATAGCTATTTATACTTGAAAATGTAACTTTTTGGCAAATATACAACAGGATAAAGCTAAAACGAAAATATGAAAGGAAAGGAAAACATGTTCTTATCTTCCTAAAGTATCATATTTGCTACTAGGAATTGTTTCTGAATGTCAGCTATCATAGGTCCAAAATTAAGTGCACATAACTAGATATGTGCACTTAATATGCGTAATATTTGAAAAAGCGTCAAAACAGACACTGTAAATTTCAACAGACATAAAGCCTAATAATGATCAAAACTCATGTATAATTGACAAGCTCTACAAAGTCTATAAATAATAATTAAGAGAAAAAGAGCCTAAGTTGGTGCAGAAAAGGAGCTGAGTTGTTTTGGCATTGTAATTAGAAGTTGATAACTATAGATTTTGTCTTCTCAGTCAGAGAATGGTATTTGCAGGCAGGGCATGTCTCCAATGTAACCTTTAACTTCTTATGTATGTACTACTACAAGTAGTTGATGGTTTAATAAATATTTTATGAATATAAATGATACTGTTAGTTTTAAGTCAATATTTGACAATTTAAATTTGTGACTACAATTTATAGATATATCATTGAATAAATAGCATCTTTAACATGTATTAATTTGGGTTACAGAGTAATTTAGCGATCATTTTTTTTTTTTGGAAGATTGAATCAAAATTTACTTAAAACTGTTCTCTGAAGTTACCAGAAATTTAGAGGGTTTTTTTTGGCGGGGGGAGTGGGGAGTGGCATCCCAGGATTTCTTCTTAAACATAATGTTATGACTGCTTGAAAGGAGGTAAATCAAAGTCATTCACTTTGAGTTTAGAGTCATTGCTCATTATCAGTTGGTAGGTGTGGAAACAACTTAATAAAGTTTGGGTAATGTAGTTTCAGTTTAAATTCTCAACTGGCAATTGGCCGAAAATTCCCATCTGAAGACGTGAGCATCCAAATGTCATTTTGTGATTTGGCTGCTGTCTGCTTGACATAGGAAGGCCCCATCAAGAAAAACTAATGGAGTGACTATCAAAAGAAAATCAATGGTAAGAGTTTTCACTTAAATTATAATACGTGTGTGTGTGTGTCTGTGTGTGTCAAGCACACCAATTTATTATACTTGAATTAAAAATTTAGAACTTTTAAAATTCAAGACATAATTAATGCCAAATGTTTCAATTTATGTTTATGACTTACATTTATAACAAAATAAATGCAATGAATGATTTTATAGGTAAAAGATTCTTATATGATTAATGTTGGTAAAATATTAAAAATGTGAAAATCAGTTATATAGTTCATGTCTAGTTTAAGAAATTCAGTTTTTGTAGGTCTGTTTTAGTTATTTTTTTTAAATAGCATATTATAATTACTGCTTGAGTAAAGTTTAACTTTATAAAAAAATTATACCAAACAATTTATTTTCATAGATGCTTCTTATTTAAAGTAAATGTTATAAATTTTGCAATACAGTAACCTGTTGGGTTTTTTTTTTTACTTCCATTATAAAATGATAGAGGGGAAAAGGAAGTATAATATATACTAATACCACTTAGTTTAACATTAGCCCTTTAAAAATGTATAATTGCTACTACATCTCTGTGGAAAATATTAAATTCTCAAGATTAGATCTTTGTGTAATAAAATAAAGTAGAATAGCCATCCATAATATACCACAATATCAAATTTGGATGGTAAAAACAGACAGCTTTCTCCTGCCTTATACACATTTGCACTGAGAAAATAATTCAAATTTGGCTACATTTTTATATGCTTCAGGTGACCTTAAACTTAATATTTTTATCCTTACTATATTTGGTTCCTACTTATCCCTTTATTTGGACATTGGCATCCTGTCAGATCTGTGATTACTTGTGTTAGCTATGGACAGGAGAAGAGTAGTAGTTTAAAGAGGTCGAAATCTAAAATCACTTTTTATCAGAGCTTATTTTAGTGTCTCGGGGGACATAGTAACTTTGTGATAACTGGATTTGGGCAATGGAGGTCAAATATTAATAATAGCTCATCAAACTTAGAATTTTTGAGACTGACATAGTTTGAGTAATTTTTCTTGCTCAGTTAGAGATGTCTAAATGACGTTAATTGAATGTGACCCGTGTTCTTGACTGTTTTCTAGAGTTTAATAACAAACATCATGAATTGCCTGTGACAAGTACCTAGCATAGCATTTGTTATCCTGTAAGCATTCAAAGGTTGAATAGCAACATCTGCCTTCAATCCATCTATCTTAATTTCAGTTTTTTATAGACTGTCTGCTGTGTGCCATTCATTCAACTAGGTGTCGAGAATAAACTAAGTAAAAATAGAGATATTTTCTAACTAACTGCTCTTGAATTTACAATGTAGATAAAATTACACAATGTAAAATAGCAACTGGAACCAATACTACGGAAAGGTGAAAGTTGCTATAAGAGTAGAAGTAATATGGCTAGTGTGTAAATAATGCATAAAACCTACATATTTTTTAAAGTGAATCAATAACTTGTTTTTGAATCTTTTATGATTTTATTAAATGAATGTCTTATAAGCAAGGCATGCAGAATAATTTCTAACCATGGAGAAATAATTTTTTTATGCTACTGTTTTCTTAGATTTCTAAGAATTTACAACAAAGCCTTGTCAAAGTAGCGTTCTTACATGAGAATTTCGCTTACAGGAGAGAATTCTTATGGGATCCAAACATTTCAGGATTAAATGCAATAAATGATAACCTCAATTTTTTCAACTGAATTTAAGTTCATTATAGAAGATCAACCATAAAATGACTGCTGTCCTTTCTTTAGCAACTATTTTCCATTCTATCACTCATTTTATATCATTGAGTTGTTACATGCAGACATTTTTAATGTAGTATGATTTCCTTAATCAACTTTTATCCCCTTTTTAAAGAAAAGAATGTAAAACTTACATTTTTAGTGAATTTATTCTAAAATATAAATATTACATTTTTAAAAATAAAATGGTAGAGCATTTGGATACCTTAATATTTACTCTTTTTCTGTAGGACACAGAATCTCGCCTAAGGGAGAGACACTAGTGATGTTTGAAAAATAATGAAGTTAGCTGTTTTCATGTTACATCTGTCAACATTTTTAAAAACTCTTATTGGAAACTAGCTCTTCTTATTCAGCTGATAGCAGAAAAAAACTGAGTCAGAGCGTATAATCTAGTAGGAAACTAAAATCAGAAAAGCTTACTTTTATAATAGAAATCACCTTTCATTTATTACTTAAATATGTAAGCTATTTAAAATATTAAATAAATATAATTTTTTTCAAATAGAAAAAATTCAAATTAAATCCATCATTAAATTTTTCCTCAAAATTATTTTGAATTTAATTTCTGCATTATCTAAATTTAGTTTTTCCGCCTATCCCCAAAAGAAGGTCACGAACCTCACTTTCACATAATCTGATTTGAAGATTTTAGCTTAAATACCTAGGCAGTTACACTTGCCAATGCTGGGAGAAAGGTCCTTCCCGTACCTTCCAGAAGAGAGTCTCAAGGAGAATGATCCTTGCTGGGTGACATGCCTTGCAATGCCCATGACATTGTTTCTTTGACAGCTCTTTTTCATTTTGTATTGTTAGCTTTTATTGGCCCATGATGTCAGGTAGATAATAGAGCATTTAGCTACATAAAGATGTTTAAACCACATAGATATGTAAACATCACAGGTGGAAGGTGATAGGTAGCATTTCTTTTACTGAAATGAATGAAAAATGTCCCTTGTTTCTAAGCAAACAATGGTCTACCAATAATCATCAATTCTTAACTATATAACTTTCATTATAGCACAGAATGTAGTTTCTGTTGTAATATACTGGCTTCCATTTTGAATTTTGGGGCTTCTACTGTCAGAAGAAATAGTGATTAACAGTAGGGTGGAATTGCAAGTTTGAGAAAGGAAATTTTAATAAAAGTTATTGCTTATAGTTGTGGGAAGTAAAAGAATATTTTCATTTCAGTACAATGAAGAACCCTTTAAATGTGAAAATTAAAATAGATTGCCTTCTAAGATTCATTCTTTTAAGAATCTGATGTTTATAAGAAGGAAATCTTGCTGATATAAATCACAGAATTATCTGAAGGAAATTTGTGGCACATCTTAAAATTAATACATTCATAAAGATATATAAAATGTTTACGATTATATGAAATAGATATTACTAGTAATATTGAGCTACTACTTATAGTGAGATCTTTACTAAAGAAACTTAAGAGTTAAAGAACAAATGCCATTAATTCATTCCGTAAATTCTTATTGACAACATGCTGTATATCAGGCACTGTACTAGGCATTGGGGACACAGCCCTAAATAAGACTGAGGTGATTCTCTTGGTTATAGTCTGTCAAGGTAGATATTAGACAAGTAATTCAATAAAGCGTAGTGGTTTGTGACATGATAACAAAGCAGTCCTTTCTTAAGGATACCTTGAGAATTGCTGTATAGTATGCTCATTATTTAACTAGTTTACTTTCCTCATGAAATGAAGTTATTCATTTTGACATAAAAATTGAATTAAAATTCTTTGAGAATGGATCATAGAAACTAATAGAGATTGAAATAGTCTTTTTTTTTCCTACATACATTATTTAAAATAAGAAACTGCTATGGAAAGGTCTTCGTTTCTGAGGCACCGAGAAATGTGAATGCAAGCAGAGAAATCTCAATACTGATCATGTATATTATGTATCATATAGATCATTTAGTAAAATTATATGTAGCAGTGTTACATTAAAATTTCTGAGTTGTAGTGGTTAAGAAGTTGGATCTAGAGTCATACTGGCTAGGTTTGAGTATCAACTCTGACACAAGCTTTGCAGTCTTAGGAAAGTTGAATAACTCCTCTGTACTTGAGTTTCCTCATTTTTAAAATGAGAATAATAAGAGTACATACCTTACAGAAGAATGAGTGATTTGATGCATATAAAATGCTTCTAAAACTATCTAGCACACAGAAAGTACTTACAGACAGGGCCTTTATATATTGTTGTAGTTAACAGCAGTAACAAACATGATAATTTCCTCAAGACAAAAAATGTTGGGCCAACAAAATAATTGCAGAATGGTGCTTCAAATATATATATTACATTACAAGGAGCCGTTATCTTTATTCTGCCAAACAAAATGTCAGTGAAATTCTCACCCAAGATTTGGGACCTCTTAGCAATATAGCAGTCACTAAAAGGCCTGCCTCCATAGGTTGCATCTCTAGGACCACGGTTACCTCAGCCTGTAACCTAAGATTCAGTCTATGCGAGACACTATGGAAATGATCTTTGTTTAAGAAAGGAAATAGCAAAAAGCCCAAACCAGATTAGAGTAAGTTTGTGAATGAAATGACTGCATTAAAATCAATTATCTTTTCTCTGCAAAAACCTCAACAAAGGATTCCTTTCTATAAATGGGTCTGTGTTATATTTGTAAACTTAATCATATATAGCACTACTTGTTATTTTACTTTATTAAGAAATAAATTGTTTTCTGTCTCAAGATAGTTGTTATATTATCTACTAATATATATTTTGTGAAAATATTTTTAAATGTTTAAAAAATATTTTTTATCTAGATTTTTGCTGTATCTTATAGTTTGATATCCTAGCAAACTATAAGAATTAAATAATTTTTAAGAATTAAATACTTTTCGCTAAGTAATTTTTGTTGAAAACAATTTCAAGATGTAATTTTATTTGCTTTTGACATTTGCTTTGAACTATGATCCTACAGTTTATGTCTATATATATATATACATAAAGAGAATTTATGTATTTGTGGATTAATTCAGTTTAATTATCATAAGTGTAACTAATGAATTGTTTTCAGATGAAATATTTTAATTAAGTCTAAAATAGGTATTTCATAACCTTGTGTCTTTATTTTCGTTTGCAACATAGAACTGTTTCTTTCATTGTAAGATGCTAAATAAGAGAAAATTATTTGAATATAGAAGTATGGTTTCCCGTGACCACAATAAGTTTGAATAGAATCAATCAACAAATGTATTAAAAACTTGCTATCTA